ATTTTTCTGCATATGGTGTTCAAAAACACTATTTTCCGTTTGTAATTTATTGTCAGTCCCTCAAATCTCTAAAAGATTTAAACTGCATTGATAAGTATGAGAAATCGCATGATCTAAACAATTCTTAAGTTATAAAAGGATTCTTCAAGTATTTTTTAATAAATAGTAAAAAATTGTATCAGTTTAGAAGTGTTTCGATTATTTTGTCAACCTCTTGTACTGTAAAACACGTTTAGGAAAATCTCATTTAAAATGTTTTAATGTCCAAGACTTTCAGTTAAACTTTCTTAAGAATTTCGATATGTGACGTAGCTAACATTTACATATTTGACTCATTATATAATACCATTCAATGATGTGCACACATTCGCTTATGAAAATAATATTTTAAAAGTTCTTATCATCGTTCCGTTAATCCAAATCTTATTTTTACTCTCTTCTCAAAGATTTATTAGATAAAAAACGAAACACTAGTATATATTTTAAAAATTTGTAACTAAGCATACGTGTTGTTATTAAAGGTCAGGACTTGAGTCGAAATTGAATTAGGCGATATCATTAGAGTGTATTAGTTTTACATTTTAAATTACATCGGAGCTTTGAGAAACATTAACGATGCGGGGAGCCATACCCTCTGAATCTAGATGTAATTATAAAGCAATTATTGTACAGAGCTTTAATGAGAGAGAATACGAAAGTACTAGTTTGTTGGGCAATCCCAACAGCATTTAAATTAGAAGGTGAGAGAAGTTAAGGCTCAAACTAATTTGAGGGTCACGCTCTTAACCGAAAGATTTTTATCCTCCTAGCTTGATTGAAAATTTTCGCCAATTAAAGTCAATAAAAGCTTTAATCTAAAGTTCCTATCAAATACTACGTCTTTGTTGCTTTTATTTTTTCAAATATTTATTTCTTAAAAGGAAATTCTTTTTTTTTTATTTAAATATATTTTTCATTATATTGACGCTTGTTATTTTCATAATTTATTATTTTTTTACACCTTAAAAGGCTTTTTCTTTTGTAAAAAAATAAGATTAAAACCAATAAAAGCTCTGATCTGAAGTTTCAATTAAATGCAATGAGTTTCTACTTTATTTCTCAAATTTATTCATTTATTTTAAAAAATATAAATGCTTTTTTAATTTCCTTTTGAATCATATTATTATTCTAATAAGTAATTAAGTTTCTTTTTACACATTGGTGCCTTTTTTTGAACCCCACATATATCTGATGGAAATTAATTCTTTGTGAAAATTGAATAGGTGGTAACAAAAGTCTAAAAATTGGCGAAGCCTCATACAATGATGATTGTGGTGCTTGAAACACCAGCAACACTGGACAAGTTATATGGATTTTAATACATGCAAGGGTAGACATCCATCTACAAAGTTAATAGAATGTATGCAGTGAATCGACCTAATTAGCAAAATGTAAATAATATTCATGCGTAACTATGTCCAAGCATCTTTAAGTAAGTTTATTATTATCATCAAGTTAAAACGTTCTTATAAGGACTATAACAAGTGCAAAATTCGATCCTAAATGTGCTGCACACTGGTTAATGCTAATTTCGTGACGTTATTAGAAAATTGAAAACTACTATGCATTTATGTTTGAGGCATCATATTTAGGAAACTAGCAATTTCTGGACTTAGTGTCAACGATAACTTTTGAATAACTAATAGAATTTTAACTACAACATCGTAAATTTCAGCCACTTTGATAAATAATTTTACTAGGTTAGAGCATTGGTTGATCATTGGTTGGATTGCTATCAAAATTGCGTGGCGCTCTTACCATGCTTTTTGAAGATACAGCTTTTATTAAAAAATATTATGGAAAATGTACAGTAAAAATGTTTTAGTGCTCAGGTAGCTGGCACTCCTTTTCTATACATTCAATATTCAGTTTTCTGAAGAACAGATAAAAACATGGTCATCGAAGTTGATCGCTCTTACGTTGGGTTGGAGCATTGTTTTGAGGTGGATTGCTATTTAACTATCAAAATTGCGTGACTCTCTTACCATGGTTTTTGAATGTTTTTACCGTGAAAAAGATAATGAAAAATTTACGGTAAAAAAAAATTATATTCAGGGGACCAGTAGGGGAGAGTGGGGTCAATTGCAACATTTTTTACTTAACTATTTTTAACTAANGGACTATAACAAGTGCAAAATTCGATCCTAAATGTGCTGCACACTGGTTAATGCTAATTTCGTGACGTTATTAGAAAATTGAAAACTACTAAGCATTTATGTTTGAGGCATCATATCTAGGAGACTAGCAATTTCTGGACTTAGTGTCAACAATAACCTTTGAATAACTAATAGAATTTTAACTACAACATCGTAAATTTCAGCCACTTTGATAAATAATTTTACTGGGTTAGAGCATTGGTTGATCATTGGTTGGATTGCTATCAAAATTGCGTAGCGCTCTTACCATGCTTTTTGAAGATGCAGCTTTTATTAAAAAAGTATTATGGAAAATGTACAGTAAAAATGTTTTAGTGCTCAGGTAGCTGGCACTCTTTTTCTATACATTCAATATTCAATTTTCTGAAGAACAGATAGAAACATGGTCATCGAAGTTGATCGCTCTTACGTTGGGTTGGAGCATTGTTTTGAGTTGGATTGCTATTTAACGATCAAAATTGCGCGACTCTCTTACCATGGTTTTTGAATGTTTTTACCATGAAAAAGATAATGAAAAATTTACGGTAAAAAAAATTATACTCAGGTGACCAGTACTCTTGTTATATACATTCAATGTTCACCATAAGAGCTGTCCATATATTCTGAGTGAATTATTCAGAACAAACACGAGAAAGAACTGCTTAATCATCACTAGGATTCAACCCATTGTCCGAATTCAACTCTTATCTCAAACATGATATTTTTCCATGTAAAAACTTTTAGTGTCAATTTTTCTTTTGCTTTATCCGATAATTTTGAAAAGTGAGGAGATTTTAAAAGTTTACCTAAGCATTGTTTATATTTTGTCTCCCATTTTTCAGATGAAATTTGCAAATCACAAAACCTCCATTAGGCGCTTACGTAATGCTTGAATGGGATCTAGGTGGTTAATTGGACGGATCATCGGATTTTCTTCGATCAGCTCACATTGGTCCGGAATCCCTCAGTGGTTTCAAAGCAGAATTAGTCCACGCAAAGTAGGATGGTTGGGGAGCACGGGGTGGAGCTCAAATGATTACCACCACTATCTATCATCTGATCGAAATTAAAGTAGTTTAGTAATCGCCTTCGTCAGTATTGTCCTCAGTTCAAGATTTAGGATGAACTGCTGCCAATAATCCATTAGTGCAACTCTAATTGGTCTAATGCAACGTTAAGAACCAGACAAAATCAAAAGTCCTGAACGAATGTCTTCCTGAAGAGAACTGAACTTAGTTGCAATGTCATATTTTAAACTCATGGCATCTTTTGACCCACCTCATATCCATTGCACGTTTTAAAATTTAAAAAAAAAGGGAAAAAAAAAGAAAACATACATTGATTTGCAGTTTATTTTATAAAAAAAAATTAAGTTACTGATTTAAAATAACCCAATAACATATAATGCAATGAATTTTACAATAAAAAATTATCATTTCATAGTTAGTTAATTTAAGGGTGTAAAGTTATTTATTTAGAATTGTATCATATCAAAAATTTATTCTTTATTAACTGTATGAATTGTACTACAGTAAAAAAAGAAAAAAAAAGGGGGTTACCAAGAGCATTTATTTTAAAATTCAAATTTAATTAAAATAGAGCTTGCTATAATTTATTTAATTTTTATAATGTAAAAATCAATTTGTGAACAGTTTAGTTAAATAAAATATTTATAAATATTGCTTGATATTAAAAGTGTCGAAAGAGAGGAAAAAGATGAGGTTTTTACATCGTTCCATCAAATAAAATTAACTATCGTACGAAAACAACAATTTAAACTGAAACAACTGATTTCCTCTTTTTCAAACTTCTACGAAAACAAGATATAACAAAACTTAAAATGAAAAACAAGCATCAGTTGATAAGAAAATCTAGAAGATTCTCCGTTTCTTGATATCGATCAAATTCAGTTTCCAGGGTTACCACTTAGGAACGTTTCTTTTGAAGTTGTGAAAAAGGTTATTTTTTCATATTTTATTACTTTTTTTCCAGTATTTGAAAATTGCATCAGCGGATAGAACTACTGCTTAAAGTAGCAATAGGAACTCTTCTGAAAGTAATAAGGTCTAAAAATTTATTGTTTCGCTCATTTTTAAAAGTTTTGAGTCGGATTTAATGATTTTTAAAATGGTTTTAAATTAAGAAAAAGTATTTCTAAAGATATTGTAAATAATAATAATGTGATGGTAAACAAATAATCCAAAGAAACTGAAGATATATTACTTGATTTAAAACTTCATTCACTTCTAAAATATACAAACAGCCGACAGTTCGAACTTCTAAGACTGAAAATTACTCATATTTCCAAGGGTTAAATAGCGTTTATAAGTTTTGACAACAATGCGATAACAAAAAATAGGTATTATACAAATAATAGTTCAAAGTAATTATGCTGCTACCAAAACTGATTATCCTAACAGTGAAATGTTTCAGATATTGTTGAGATATTGGCTCTCACATAAAATAAAATCAATTGTTAGTAATGTTAATTAGTAGTTAGAAGTGCACATTATAGCCTATATTTACTGCGCTTAACCTAAGATTACTAGCCCAATATTTTTCTTAGATCTAGGCATCTGGAGGTTCCTTCAATTATCAAAACTTCGAATTACATTTTCGTTAAACAATTTCCGAATCCATTTAAATGATTCATGGTAAACCACGTTTCCAGATTTGTATTAATTGTTTTTAATCACAAATGAGTTATTAAACTTAATTTACGAAACTAAAACTAAATAGAAGTAAGAAAATAAATAAAGAACCAAAAATTCCTAATTTTTTGGATTATTATATAATGAAAAACTTTTTAATTCAAAATTTACATACCTCAGTGATTTCAAGAAAAGGTGATTTTCTTAGAGACTTCTTTAAAAGTTCTCCCCAAGCAAGCAGTATCTGTAGATATAGATCTTGACATTTCAACTAACTTTTGAGATATATGCTGGATAGGGAGGGGTCTAGATGAAATAGAGGCTACCGTTGCTTAAGGGGTTGAACCCTTTCGACTCTCGGTATGTGGGTGAGAAGCAACAATCCTTTCTTGGACGATACAGATATTTCAACGGTTTTTGGACTGTCAATTAACTTCCAAACTACTGGATACGAAATGTGGAAACTAGCAATTATTGGTGTCATTTTCTTTTTAGGGACTGTATACGAAACGCACCATTATTTCTTCAAGGTGAGGATTCAACTTTGTGTCACTTAACCGAAATTATAGGACGAAGCAAATAAGCCAATATAATCTGCATAACTCAAAGTCAATATAAATCTTATAAGACGTAACTAATACAATCTGCGTAACACATAGTTAATATAAATCTTGTAAGACATATTCAATATAATCTATATAACTCAAAATCAATTTAAATTTTATTAGACATAGCCAATATAATCTGTATAACTCAAGGTCAATCTAAGCTTAACAAGTCAAAGCCAATGTAAAGCAATGCGAAGTGTAAAAAGATCTTATTTTGAAACTGCATAACTTTAAAAGAAATGAAAACGGACATTTAAAAAAAAAAATTATTTCTTGCCAACAAATTAAATAAGACTGGCTAAAACATTCATAATCCACATTCTGAGGTGTTATCTTTTTAGTTTTAAAATTTAAAAAAAAAAAGTGTGAAGATTGTTTGAGGTAAAAATATTTGAAATCACTTAAAGTGCAATGGAGGAAAAATTTCAACAAATTGTTGTATATTCTATTTTAGATACAAACATAATTTTTCTACTCTTTTCTTAAAAAAATCTAATAACATTAATTTTTAAATAGTAAAACGAATCCATAACAATCATCAAATTTTCAAAAATATTGAGAAATTCAAAAATATTATTTAAAATATAGAGAAAATATGGAAAATAATAAAAATTAATGGCAAGAGAGGACGAAAAATTATTAAGAAAAAATTATTTTTAAAAAATATTTAAAAAAAAAAAATTTTTATCTAAAAAAAATTATTAAAAATCCAGAAAAAAAAAATTAGGAAAATATATAATCTCTTAAAGAAATTATCCTTTCTATCTTATGAAAAAAGATATTATCTTTTCATCAGCTCTCACGATTGTATCCGCACAAATATTTTTCCGGATTTTTATTATTTTTTTTATTATTAGTTTTCGTTTTCCCTTTTTTAATTGTTCTGTAATTTTTTCCACTCTTTTTCTACATTTTGAGCTTATTTTATAAGTTCTATTTACTTGCAGCTAATGCGCAGTATATATATATATATGANTATATATATATACATAATATACATATATATATACATATATATATGTATATATATAGAGAGAGAGAGAGTTTTCTCTAATCGAGAAATTCGCCCCTGGTATTTACACGCCACTGTTTCGGACGTAATCGATAGTTTTAATATCCCCCTTTTAAAAAAGTTATAGTGATTTTTTATTATATTAGTTACAGTTTCAACTGATTTTTCATTGATTTTTTCAATAGCAAAAATGTCTCGTACATTTGCTGAAAATGTATACTCTCTTAAATAACAATAATAAGATAAAATTAATAAATTAATTAAAATAATTCATTCTTATGTATTTAAATTAAAACTATTCTGACCATAATTAGATTTAATAATTAGCTTTTTGTAAACTTTATTTTGTTAACGTTAGATAAATGATCAATAGATATAACACTGATGACTTAGCTAATTACGCATTCAGTTAAATTGTTCAATTTTCTTTATGTATAGCTAAGAAATTACCAGAAAAGGTGAATATGTAAATGAATGAACAGAAAATTGCTTAGTGTTAGATTGCTTAAAATGCTTATATTTCCCACATCAACTGGACAAATTAAATAAAAAATTTAATAGCATTAAAAAAAACGAGGACGTATACGAGGTGAATATGTAAAAAAATGAATTGCTTCCTTGTTAGATTGTTTAAAATGCTCATATTATATACATAAACATGACAAATTAAATAAAATTAAAAACATTCGAATTGGAAATATTTTTATTTGTATTTATTTGAAGATATGACGATCTTGTTAACATAGGAGGTTTAGGTTAGAGGGTCATAGAGGAGAGATAGCCTGTTTAAATATCTCCGATGTTTTTTAATATAGATCAGATGCAGTTTCGCAGGAAGCAGTTTCACTTGCTTATCAATTTGTAAAAATCAATTTGTAATTTGTATTGTGGCAACAAAACGTGAGTAAACTTTTAAAGTATGTTATATTAAGGGATCAAATATTTTTCGTGAATTCTGATATTTTCCAATGTATATGTAATATTTTTCTTCGACTTTAGGTACCTTTAAAGCACAATTTTGTTCTTGAGTATTAAACAGAGGAATATAATTGTAGAGTGAGGCTATTAATTTTATTGCCATCTCATCATCAACTTTAGGTGATATGGAGAAATAGCCACTTTTCATTAATACGTATTGGCATACCAAGTATCAAAGGGTCCTTAAAAAATTAAAAATTAGTGACAAAGGTAAGAAAATAAGATATAATTTAGTATATCAGTCTTCACCACCACGCTTAATATCTTCAAATAAAAAAACTTAGTTACGAAATAATCGGGTTCATTAATGGTTATTGTTTCGTTTCGTTTTATTTTCGTTCGGTTTGGTTTTAATTTGCTTTGGCTTAATTTCGTAATTTATCGATGAAAGCAAAAAAAATTAGTTTTTAACTTATTTATTACAATATTAAAGCCATTATTTTAAATTTTTTTACAAATCCTGCATATAATATTCAACTTCTACGCACCTGACATATTTTCCGTTAGAGCGATATACCAACTCTACAGAACCCTGCATATTATCCGATTCTATATCCTCATAATTTGATGAATATCAGTATGGCGGCGGAGATGTGGAGAAGTATACAATGTCACAACTAGATAAGATGTGTAAGGAGCATGAAATGGCTCCGTGATACATCTTTGGAAACCTTTACCAAAACATTTTTTTTTTCGAAAGTAATTGATTAAATCTGCGCATTAGATTTTGTCGATTAAATTCTTCCTACTTATATTTGAGGATAAAAGTTATTCCTTACAGTTTATTGTAAGTTTTTTATCTTTAATTGTATAAAATGGGTTGTTTTCCATATTCGACTTCGCTGTATTAGATGGCCAGCTCACCTCGACATTAAGGAAGAATGACGACTTGTCAATGTAATTTCAAATATTTTATTTAAAATATTTTTTCTCAATATTCAATTATTTTTTTCTCAAAATATGCTGATTACACGTATGAGAATTTAAAAAATGCACAAGCCATTCCTGCATTTCGATTGATTTTTTAAAAAATTTTTTATATTTTAATTTGGGGGAAAAAAACTATGGCCATAAATTCTAGACATACTCTATGGCAATTTTAATATATTTTTATTTGAGTGCTTTTCAAATACTGTTTCGAAATATGATATGGTAATGTAACTGAATAAAATATGATAATAAAACTAAGAAACATGATAATATAGCTAAATCAAAAAAAAGTTTATTATCTTATAGTTTGCAATTATATTTCGAATAAGGTATTAAAAATAAATGTGCATTCCATTATTTTTTCTGCTTTTTTTTATTTTATTCGCTTAGCATAACTACATTTCAAACTTCCAAATTTCTGCTTAAATTTAGCTACATTAACTAGCAAAATATTTATTTTTCCAAACTATTAACACTTGCGCTTCTTTACTACAATATCTTCAACCTGTGCACTAGATATACGACCCCATAGATTATTGGCTATGTCAAGCCTTTGCAGCTTTATTTATGGCCCTAAAAACGTACCCCTCTGTGGTACAAAACAACAATGCCTCTTTTCTCTCGTCAAAGATCTCGATTTAAAAGAATTATGTCTCTAAACGGTATTTCTTTCTATTATAAATAGAATGTTTTCTTGGTCCATTCACTCACCTATCAACGATTTTCTATAACCTCAGATAGGGTACCTGCTTCTGAATTCTCAACATATTTACCTGAAACACCTCAAGTTCAGATGTTTCAAACCCAAAGTCGCATTGGTCGACTCAATATTCCTATAAAGTGGTTTTTCATTTTTACTTCGATTTTAATTTTTTTTTCATGCATTTGCTTTTATAGAATCATAAAATGGTTATATTTTATCAGAAAAGTAAACTTCAAAATATAAGACGTAAGTATTGTATTCAAATTTCTGCTATTATTTATTTCTTTATTTTTCAAATAAAATATTCAACTTCAAAACCCTTTGTGAAAGCGTTATGATTTTTGACTTAAATAAACATAGAGAGCAAATTTCCTGTAAAATTACTGCACTGCATGGTAAAGAAATTTTTAGCAAAAAAAGCCGTAATTTTGGTAATAAAACCAAAATACACGGTATTTAAATGATTCATTTAGTAATTTTCCCGTTCATATGGTAATGGTTCAACCGGAAATTCTAGTTTTGAAAATTCTTAATAGATACATTTGGTTAAAAAAATACGGAAATGAAAAGGAACTTTAACCAAATAAATGGTTTTTATGCCATTGTCTAACTTATCATGATAAAATTATCAAATTTATCTAATATTATAAAACCTTTAATTATTGTTAATTTTACTAAAATCATTACCGATGCTCTTCCGTTAAAGTTACTGAGCATTTTGCTGTTCCCATAGAGACAGAAACACGAATGTTTCCATATTTGTTCCATAATGTTTCCGTAAATGTTTCCATATTTTGGTAATTTTGACGAATTTTTTCTCGGTGAACGAGTTGAAATCATGTTAAAATCTATAAAAACGTAGATTATTCCTTGACTTAACACAAAAGCATCTAATGTCAATATTTTTTGACTGGTTAGGTAATCGAATGCCTAATGAATCAAAACGACTCGATCCATATTATCCCTATTTTTAAAGGATAGCAAAGAAAAATAGAAATTCCTTATCCAGGTACATGAATTTCCGCAAGTATTTACTTAATTTTTTGAAAATATCAGAAATGCATAATTACTTTATGATTATTGTTATCATCAATAAAAAGTATTTTTGATATTTTAGAATAACTTAGCTATTTTTGAAGTACCAATTGAAAATCGTTAAAGAAAGACGCTTGAAACTCTTTGAAACGCTTATAATTGCAATAAAATTACCTACACTCTAAA